ATGCTACGTATTATCAGCTGATGTGTCCTGGGCCATATCATGCCAGTGAGCTCATCAAAGTATCAAATTATGAATAAATAATATACAATCAGACGCAGGAATCAGTTTTAACCCCAGCAGTGCCTTAGCCAGTCAGACATTTTGAACAAAAAGACTCAGGTTGTCAAACAGGACTTTTTCCACCCATGTCCTCTTATTGATTTTAGATTTATGTCCTTTTCTCTAAAGCATTGCTGTTATATCTCGTTTTCTTTCTTCATTTAATAACTGTCCTTGATGTACTCCATGTTGATTTGTCATCTTTTAAATATATTTTGTAATCAATATCTTTCATCATTAAGATGTATGTCTTATTGACCCGCAGAGTAACCAAGAACACTTCATTTATTCAGAAACCTCATTTATAGTATTAGTTGTATTATTCCATTTTTAAATTAAATTTCAGCTTCTCTTAATTTGTTTTAATTGTCATGTTTATTTTATTTTATAACTACCTAATTTTTTTAGCCTTAATATTTTTGCTTTTTTTGTCTTTTATGTTTTCTATTATTTTGTTCTCTTTTTTTTGTAGATCATGTTTTATTTTTAATTATTATTTATATCTGCAATAAAGCTACACAGTTTTTTTTTTTTTAATCTTAATTTCTGTCATAATTTTAGTTTGTACATTCAAGTTAATATAATGACTGAAATTTAAAGCACATACTTTACTAACAGAAAGAAAATCAGGACCTGGCTAAACAACTAAGTGACATTAGCAAATGCAAAAATCACTAACTGAGCAAATTTATAAATATTGAACTAAAATTTGGTGTGGTAGTAGCTGAGCTTTGTCCTCAACACAGATTTTGAGCATTAACAGGTCACATGAGAGCTTTATTTAAAACTTTTGCATGCAAGGCTTGAGCCGATATACATTCTTTCAAGGAATTCTAGTTAATAATGGTACTTTTATTAGTTAATGCCTCAGTTTATTATTATTTTTTAATCCAACAGGCTAATGAACAAGTGACAGTTCTTACTTAACACCTTAAGAAAGTGTCCTCATTTTCAGCACAGGTGTTATTCCCCGCAGTTGGTGAGGCTGAATATTATGTCAGTCACAGAACTGTAAATTTTGCTTGGGTCGTTTTAAAAACCGGACATTCACACCTTCTCCATGCCACATCTTTTAGGGCTTCTTTGGCCAAAGTTAAGAAAGAACTCGACTACTTTGCACAAATAAAACAAAAATAAACAAAACGTTAGGCTGCCAAAATGTGGTTTAAATAGGCAGTCTGTGAGTTTATTAGGCGGGAGGAAACCATGAGCTGGATCCAAGCGTGTAAGACTTGAAGACCGACAGACTGACGTAGTCGGAGGAAGTCAGCGATGCACTTAACCACTCTCATCAAAAGCAGAAAGACGAGGATGGACTTGACAGATGGGAAGAAGATTGAGAGGAAAAACGAGAGGTTGAGGAAGTCAATAATGTACTTAACCTTCCTCTGCAGACTCTCCGTGTCCCTCCTGTGTGTGTTTTATTTTAGTTTTTTACAATTTCTTTGTATAAAGTGTGGAGGGAGGTTTGGAAAGGTGAGGAAGAGGTGGAGGGATAAGTATGGCACAGCCTGGACTGAAAATAATCAAAGGCAGTAAGAAAGAGCTGTGTATATATATTTTTTTCCGTCAGCACAAGTGTCAGAGTAGTTGAGTGTATGCAGGGCAGGCGGAGGTTCAGGAAGAGCCCAGTATAAGAGGGAATAACCTTGTTTTACTGCCACAAAACTCTCTGCTCTCCACAGGGAAGATTGGAGCTCCTCTTTTTAGGTTTCCTGCCCGGTTCTGGCAGTTTGCTTAAAAGTAATTTCACTACCAATTCTTTTTGATCATTTACACTCCTGCTTTTTTTCCTCATGTACATAATTATTTATATTTTTGCCCATGAGGCTCACCCTTTTAGGCTCTTTTTACTCCCCCCATCAGTTTATATTTTTCAATTTTTGTTTTACAGTAGTCCCTTGTTTATCGCAAGAAATCACATTGTATGATTTTTAAAAATAACTTATTTGTGTGTTACTGCTGCAAATAAGTATTTGAACACCTGTGACTATCAATGTTAATATTTGGTACAGTAGCCTTTGTTTGCATTTACAGAGGTCAAACATTTCCTGTAGTTTATCACCAGGTCTGCACACACTGTAGCAGAGATTTTGGCCCATTCCTCCACACAGATCTTCTCTAGATCAGCCAGGTTTCAGGGCTGTCTCTGAGAAACACAGAGTTTGAGCTCCCTCCAAAGAATTTCTATAGGGTTTAGGTCTGGAGACTGGCTAGCCTCTCCAGAACCTTGATATACTTCTTAAGGAGCCACTCCTTGGTTCTCCTGGCTGTGTGCTTCAGATCATTGTCATGTTGGAAGACCCAGCCACGACCCATCTTCAATGCTCTAACTGAGGGAAGGAGGTTGTTCCCCAAAATCTCACAATACATGGCCCCGGTCATCTTCTCCTTAATACAGTGCAGTCGTCTTGTCCCATGTGCAGAAAAAAAAACCCAAAGCATGATGCTTCCACCCCCATGCTTCACAGTAGGGATGGTGTTTTTGGGATGGTACTCATCATTCTTCGTCCTCCAAACACGACGAGTGGAATTAAAACCAAAAAGTTTTATTTTGGTCTCATCTGACCACAGAACTTTCTCCCATGACTCCTCTGGATCATCCAAATGGTCATGGGCAAACTTAGGACGGGTCTGGATGTGTGCTGATTTAAGCAGGGGAACCTTCCGTGCCATGCATGATTTTAAACTATGACGTCTTAGTGTATCCACAGTAACCTTGGAAACGGTGGTGCCAGCTCTCTTCAGGTCATTGACCAGCTCCTCCCGTATAGTTCTGGGCTGGTTCCTCATCTTTCTTAGGCCACGAGGTGAGATCTTGCATGGAGCCCCAGTCCGAGGGAGACTGACAGTCATGTTTAGCTTCTTCTATTTTCTAATAATTGCTCCAACAGTTGATCTTTTTTCACCAAGCTGCTTGGTAATTTCCCCGTAGCCCTTTCCAGCCTTGTGGAGGTCTACAATTTTGTCTTTGGTGTCTGTCTGGAATCAGTTTTTACTTTACGGATTTTATCCATAAACTATGCAGGCAGTTCTTCATTTAAAGAAATAAAGCTACAAGTTAAAGTTTTACTCCTTGTACTCGCTCCAGTGTTCCATATTTGCAAAAGAAATGACAGGAAAACTGTTTGAACCACCGTAATCCTTTTTTGTTGTTTGTATAACCAATAAAATTCAGTTTTGGTCAAAGCTTGAAAAAGAGTCGCCGAAGAGGGACCGAAGAGCTGCATGTGGCTCCTGAACCGCACGTTGCAGACCCCTGCTCTAAACAATGTTTCTAAACTCTAAATGCTCTAAAAGAGCACAGCATGTCATGATTTCAGCTCCCTGCCTCCTCTGCTCTCAGCCACCTGCAAGAGCTCTTGGCCACGCCCACTTCTACGCTCTGCACGGAAAACAGCTGATCAGCCGCAGCAGGAAGTTTATCCTGCAGTATGGATAGCACAAAGGTGCAGCAGGTGCTAAATAATTTAAAATAATTGATTTTAAATAAAAATTCCATGCTGAGCATGTGGCTCATCCATCAATCAGCCAATTGTGAGTCATGTCCAATTTTATTTTGAAAAACCGTGATAGTGAGTTTGCGATAAACGAACCGCTAAGTAGCGAGGGACTACTGTATTGGCTTCTTCTTTTATGACAGTCGTCACTTGGTGAATCTAAACTTGGCTTCATGTTTAATTAAAACATATTAACTATAATTTGATTATTTTTTTTTAATTTTTTTTTATGCTTTGGGAGTTTATTTTGCATTTTTTTTTATTACTTTCCTTCCCTCCAGTGCCACCTGCTTCCTCTGCAGCCCTCAGTCTTCATTCAGATGTACAGTTATTTGAATTAAGTGGCAAATGAATCTCAAATAGGTTTGACATCAGGTGCTTTGAGCCAGAGCTGCTGGAGAAGTTCCTGACGAACTGTAGATCGATCAGATTTTGACAGGAAGGAGGACCACTCTTCTTTCTACTGATACTTCATGATATGATGTTTTAAAGATGGCAGTAAAGACTCTCTCAGGTGTTTAATTGTGTGGAGATCTAATGGCTGTGGAGATGACTGCATATGAATGACAGTATCTTATTCCTGCTAATTCATGGATGTAGAATGATTTATTGTGCACCGGCTTTTCAACAGAAGGCAAAAATCTTGTTGCCAGTGTGTTCAAGTATGTGTGTGTGTCTTTTGGCAAAATATTTTAAGCCATAGTACAGATTGGAATGAAACTCTCCAAGTAATTATTTAAAATACATTTGAAGCCGAATAACTTTTGGAAAAATAGCCAAGGTTATGAACAGTGAAGAGTCGAGCTTGACCAAGATGGCTACAACCTCATCATTTCTGGACACAAGATGATTTGAATTTAAAACTCAAGTGGACAATACCTTTCGAGGAATACTATGATTTTCATTGATTTCTATCTCCACGTGTAATTTAGTTTGGATTTAGTAGTTTAAAGTGTCTAGTTTAATTTAAAACGGTTTCGCAAGTTGAATTACATGAAAGTGTTAGAAGCTGTTCAGGTCTTGTCAAGTGGGGTTCTGTGTAAAGTTTATGAACACTTAATATCTTACCTGTTGTAGATGACTCTTTGAAGGGCCACATTTTTAGCCGTCTGTTTTAAACAATGTCATTGTAAGAAAAATTTTAAATTTGAATGATGAACGGACTTGGCTTATACACGAACATCTGCATTATTGTCATGTTCTCAGTAAACTCTACGCCTTAATGTTCAGCGGTGATCAGCTCCGTGTATCCTGGCAGGAGGCCCGCTGGAGGCCCTGACAGATTGCTATCATCAGCGTGTTATTTCATTAACACTCTCATGCTGAACATCTTCTCACTCGTCATTTTCTCTTTCTCTTCTTACTCCTCCCGCTCTCCCTCCCTGCCTCCCTCCATGACAGATGCAGAGCGAAAAGAAGAGGAGGAAATACTCCACGAGCAGCAACGACTCTGACACCACTGACAGTAAGTTAGAGCCTCGGAGAAGAGGAATGTGTGTGTGTGTTAGAGTAAAAGATGAGCTGCTGTGTTCCTGTTGTGCAGTGAGTGACATGATTTCTACCAGTTTCTGTAAGAGTTTTATTTTCATGAAGACCTTCCTGTTTCTCTGCCGTTCTTCTTCTGTGGATTATTCTCCAGATTTAGTTACAGCATCAATACAAATATAAAACACCCACTGAACATGACAAATAAAACACAGTTATATTACTCTGGGTTTCATGAGACACGCCTCCGTTCAGGAAATCCATTCCCTAGTTTGAAGCCAACGTGCAGAGCAGCTGGCAGGGAATCACGAGATGTTTCAACAGACACAGACATGCACGATGGATCGGAAATCTCTGCAGGTTGGATCGGAAAAATCCGATACGTAAATTATGCTGGTATCGGAGGCCGGATCGGATCGGCCCCATCCCTAACAGGTACACAGGTGGAGCAGCACTTTCTCTGTGTTTCTACTCTCAGTTATTGGAGACACAACTCTGTTTTGTTTGCTGAAGCTTCTTCTGCCCTCAATCTTTAGGCACAGATCATGCCAGTGTAGTGAGTCACGTGGGTACGTGTCACTTGTTGTATGACAAATATATGAAATATATATGCATACAATATTCACGAGTTCTTCATTTTTCTGACTGTGTAATGCCGTGCATTGAATTTAAAGGAATGCGAACGAGAGACGTTATTATCTTTGACCCATCAAATGAATGGAGTCATTTATTTTCAGAATCAAAGTTTAACATCAAACATTTACATTAATTTGGCAAAATATGAAAATAATAACAGACAGTTTCACAAATAATGAACTTCAAATCACTCGGCGGTGATTTGAGGACTTTGCTTCAGATATTTCTAAAAATATCTGTACTGATTTATGAGAGAGAGGTGAGTTTAAGAGGAAATTGAGATTTATCTTACAGAGGAATATGTGAGGGAATTTAATCTGTTTGACCAGAAATTGCACGCTCCCATCAGGTATCTCAGCTTGTCCCAGGTACACTTTAGTCGAAGAAGAAACCGTTACCTTGTTGACGATCGATCACCTCAGTAAGAATCCTTTTCAACTGATATCAGCGTCTCCGTTGAGAACAGCTAAAATCCTTGGAGAGCCGTGCGTGGTTAGCTCAAAACAGAATTATAATCCCAAAACGTCTCTGGATTCTCGGCAACTCTGACTCTTCATTGTCAGAGGAGTACTCAGACTCTTTCAGATCTTCTCAGACTCCAACTCCAAAACTCTCCATAACTCTAGTTCTCTTCTGAACTCCTTGAGAACTTTTTCATTCTACGAATCTTTTCCATTCTAACATGAACTGGGAAGTTGCCACATTTTATTTGGGTCGACTTCCGGTTCAATTTAGAGCTTTCTGATTCGTGGATGTACCAGAAAGAGGTGTGGTTTTTTGACGTAAGTTATTATCAAAAGTCAAGGATTGTTTTCAACATACAGAAAAGATTATTCCAGTCGACCAGACTTCGTGGAGTCTCACACTTGGTAATCTTTTCAAATAGTAAAACATGACATTTCTTCTTCAGTAAACATTTAGTTGACCGAAGCTTCAACTTTCACACACTTACGCCTTGGCTCATTTCAGACAGAAAATCAAGAAATGCATATTCAGGTGATTTCTTCTTTGAATGAGGAATAAAAATCATTACTTACTGTTTATGTAAAATAAAAATGAGTAGTTCTTTTCAACCTGTAAGCATTGAGTGAAACTAACACAATTTGATTATCAAACATTTGTAAAACAGTAATGATTATAGAGGATTGTCTTTTCTGCTTGATTAATTCAAGAAAGAAAGCCATCAGATGGCTCAGACTTATTCAGATCAATGAAAATAACAGTCTCTGTCCATCTGGTAGATTTGAGGTCATCAGGGTCAGATGAGGGTCAGATCATCAGGCCATCTAGTTCACTACACCAGCAAAGTCCAAAACATTTGTGGTTTAAATTGATTTAGCACTTTAGAAGCCATTTAAGATGTCTAGTGACTTTAATGCCAGTCTTCTGTTACTTTTCTTATTTGGGCTTTGTTAATTTTTTTACATTTTACTGCTTTCATTTCGCAGCAATTATCCTCTGATGTTCTCTTTGTGGAAATGTCAGGAGAGAACAGACAGAAAATTGGTACTTTTCCTGATGCATTGTTAAACTGCACCTAATTTTAGATTTTAAAACCTGCTGCTTTAATGAAGATTAGATTTTTTTTAATGCAGTTTAAAGAAAATTTGTGCTTTTAACATTGGAATCCAGACAGATTTAGATCTATACCAGTATCATCTGTTGCCTTCTGGCACATCTTGGAAGAAATGCTTTTTCATACAGGACCACTTTTCTCTGGAATATGCGTCAAAAATACTTTATTATTACACATTAATGGAAAATCAATAAAATGTTACGAATAGCGATATTCTCTTTTTGTGCACATTCATCTCAAATAACCAACAATGATAAATTATGTTACCTTTTAGACTTTTAAGGGATGTTAGAAAAATGATGCTGTAAGAAAAGGAAATGCCAGTTTTTTTGTGAAAAAGTGAGATTTTAATTTAATGACGGAACCAGTGTGGGTAATGTAGTTGTATCAGGTCTGAAATCCAGCTGTCTTTTTAATCTGCAATCTTCTACTGACTGCTGCTGCGTGGACTCCAGCTGCATCTGTTCCACTGAAAGTTATCAGGTTTCTAATTGAAGGATGCCCATGATAATTTAGGCTGCTGGAGCCCCGAGCACAGCTTTTAATTAGCACACGGCCATGATAGTAACCTTCAACTGCGCTGCGGCCCGTTTGGTTATCTGGTCACAGCGACGGAGCTGTGCTGCTGCCATATGCGAGGCGTGTAGATGTGACCTGCACAGATGCAGAGCAGAGAGCATAAAGTTGTGCAGCAGATTAGTGCATAGCTTCATGAAATTTTTTTTTTTAACCACACAGACAGGCAAATGACATGGCTCGCCAACACTAGTGGAAGATCACATGTTGTTGCATGCACTAGGCTTTGATAAGGAAATAAACAGTGACTGCAATGGGCCCAGCATACTCCATCCGAAGCCGAACAGTCGATCCACAGTCACGTGGCTGCGGGACGTTCGTGTTCGCTCACACCTTTCATAGTAAACAAGTCCACACAGCGCAGAGCTCTTGGGGAAACCCCTCTGCACACCCTGAGAAGGTACTATTTAAGAGACTGAGCTGAAAACAGCACCTCAGACTGAGGAAGTCTCTTGGATGAGAGACGAAACGTTTCTAGATTTTTTTGCTTTGTTTTGTTTTTTGTTTTTTTGAGTGTCCAGAGGACCAGATTGAACTTTTTTGGATTTTTCTACCTGGATTATTGAGCATGCATCAGGATACCCTCTGCACAGGTTTCTTCCCACTAGAATCTCCACTCCTGCATCCACTGTTTGGCCACAAATCTATCACGAAGAGAGCGTCACACTTTTCAACAGACGGACTCCTCCATAAACTATGTCTGTTTGACCTCCATCCATTTGACCAATTTAGTGTGCTTGAAGAGTTGTACAGACGAATGTCCAAACTTCTGATCAATCACACAATACTTGGTGCAGACTCCTGTGAGGAAAAAGTGTGGCCCAGGCCTCGTGTCGAGAAGGTGCAGACGAAGCTACTTTGAGAACAAAATAATCCAATTTTCGTCACGCAGCTACATCAATGAGAGCTGATTTTGCCGTTTCGGATGGAGAACGCAGGGAGGGCCCTTTAGTCAGAGAGATTTAGGCTGTTGTACAACTTTCACATACATTTGAGTTTGTGTACTGTTTTGCAGTTGGTGGTGGAGCCTGCCCTAACATCCAAAATCTTGCAGAGAACAGCGATTAAAAAAATAATAAAATAAAATGCAAAATCCTAGCATTCATTTGAAGCAATGCGTAGTCTCCGCTGACTTTCATGCCAGAATTTTAATCTAAAATCATATGTTGAAAATTGACAGACATTACCACTAGATACAGTTTTGAATATACTGTTTTGCGCTACCTTATGCAGTTTTTTCTGACTTTGATATCGGAGAATCTACTACCACATCAGGTTTTAGATGAATATCTGTACAAATGACCAAGTTACAGTCATTTTGGACATTTATTAGTGTTGATTAGTTAGACCTTCCATCTCGCGTTTAACTCACTCCAAAACAAAATCTGTTGTAGCTGCACATCCAGTGATTACTTTTAAGAGTTTCATTAAAATCCATTCAGTGGTTCACATGATATTTTGCTAACAGTCAAAGATGGCTTCATTTAATGTTGGTTTTAAGCAAAGATCATGTGTAATGAGTTGCACTTTGGTTTGTATGTAGTGAATGACTCCCTGCTACTACCACAGCAAATCTTAACACAATATTTGTAAAACTGACTCAATGGTAGTTGTTTTTGTGTTTTCTGAGCTGAGTTGATGGTGGCCAGCTTCAACAGGGCTGGCTCCAACAGTGAATCAGTTCTAGGGATTTGTTCAGTGGTTATTTCCTGAGAGTTTAATTAAAAACCAACTCATGAGGTATTTTACTAACAGTCAGAGTTGACTCCAAGTAGTCAATGATAAAATGTTGAACAAAGATATTCCACGATTTTGCAGCTCTGATTGTGAGAGTGTTGCATCTCAGCTACTTCCACACTAAATTTTTGTTCAATATGTGTAAAATAAATCGACGGCTATAGCCATTTTTTGTTTTCTAAGTTTAATTTTCTGTGGCAGCCATCTAATTCAAGTTGAATCCAAAAGTTAATCAGTTGTATTTATACATTCAATGATTATTTTCTGAGAATTTCAATAAAATGTCTATACTGGTTCATGAGGAATTTTGCTAACAGACACACAAAACTTCGTACGACTTTCGGAGGTGAAGGATAATAATGTGTGCCGAATAGGCTCTGTGCACATGCGTCCTGAATCACTTCCCCTTTGACCGGATGTCGGCATTCCAGTTTCCGGTCTAATCCCCGGTCTCGGTGAAAATGGCGTTTTCTAGATGTTTACAAGAGCTGCCCAAGATAAATATCAGCGATGTTCATCGTATTGTTGATGGCTGGTCCCCTGCTCCGACAAGCAAACGTAACAAGGGATTTAAATTGTATATCTCAAGTTACCTGCACAACTACGAGGGTAAGTAACGTTAGTTTGATCGTTGTGATGTTGCTAACTGTTTGCAGCTAACGTTAGGCTATTAGCAACACGACCATTTTTGTGTATACTCACGTTATAGAAACAGGTTTTCCACACTTAAACAAAAGGCTCATATTTTGTGATCATTCTACTAACATTCTGCTCTTCTCAGTTTCTAGCAAAAATCAGGACACAGGTGAAGTCGTTGTCAGGGCTCTGTGTCACAGGTCCATGAAGAAAAATGAAAAACCTCACAGTTTAAGTGTAGGGTGAAGATAGGATTGTTCAGATGACAGTTTTAAGATTGTTGGTTCAGTAACCCGACGTTCCTAATGTTAATGGGGATTTAGCTAAGGTGGTAATTAATTCTTAAATAAAAATAAAATGGAATTGGCTATTTGATGAATATTAACACGTGAGTTTGGCCTTGCTTGTCCCCATTTGGTTATTTGCTGCATGCATTGTTCTTCTTTTATGGTTGTTATGTGTTACTTTTAACACAGTGTTAATTTGGTAATTCATGCATATTAGTTTTACTTAAATCTAAAGAATACACTCACAGTCTCTGTAACATTATCCAGGTATTTTTACCTAGCGGGTCTCCTCTGGGTTAAAAGTGTTTTGAAATCAAGTTATCTTTATCTCATCCATTCATTTAAGATGTAATCTTGTGATAATTGTATTACACTACTCTTGACCTTCATAGAACATACTCCAAACTAAATATATAATCACATAACATGATACTATGGTTCTATGACATTAGTTATAAAAAAATATTTGGGAAGCAAGATTGCATCATGAAAGAATGGCTGATGAGTGACCAAGCTAAGATAATAAGTTCTTACTATGACATTCTTATGCAGGTGGTCCTGAAAGACTCGTGTCCTGTGGAGCTGATTCACCACAGCTGTACGTGTGTTGCTGGTGCAGCATTATGCAACCACTGTGTGGCTTTGCTGTTCCAGTCAGCACATTATTCTGAGCTGAAACTGTCAGTGGTCCCCCCTGTACTAAGCTGTACAGAAGGAGAACAGCAGTGGCACAAGCCCAGAACTTTAGTAAGTTTTCTCTTCAATAATAGACTCAATTTATTACATTTTCTTGCCGTATAACTTGTAACTGTGTCATGGATAACTGAATAGGGTATAAAACCTGGCCCCGTGGACAAGATGACTGTGCTGTCTGCTAAACCGAAGAGTGGAGCAACAACAGAGGGTGTAAGGTAAAAAAAAATCAATAAAAATTCTGATGTATTACAACAGTGTTTCTCAACCCTGGTCCTCAAGGCACACTGCTCTGCATGCTTTATAGATTTCCCTGCATTAACACAGCTGATACAGTTGTTAATCAGTTACCAACTGAAATGAGCTGTGTTTAAGCAGGGACAAATCTCAAACATGCAGGACAGTGTGCCTTGAGGACCAGGCTTGAAAAACACTATTATTTTATGTTTCATATCTGAACGAAATGCATGTGGGTATTCTATTTTTGACTCATGTTCTTTTCTTATTTTTATACACAGGAGCACACTCTACAAAGGCCTTAGTGGGGATTTGCCGGACCTTTCTGTCCTTAGAGTAAGTAGTTGTATTTAAATTACTGATAAATAAAAATGAAATTAACAGTAGGCTACAATGTACTAACAAAGAGTTGTAGACTTACCGGTGTATTGAATAATTTTATTTTCAAGTGCTGTCTCTTTGTAAAGTGTAGAATTTTTGAGGGCTTAAAATTAGTTGATATACATGTATTTTACATTTTATTGAAATAATTGTTTTCACTTTCCCAGGTTTCCGAGGTGTATGAAGATTTTGCAGCAGCTGATGCACCAATGATCTGCAGCATGGGAATCAGCCATGAATTTCCCCTTGTTGACTCTGCCCTTGGCAAAGTTCAGGCTGGAAGTCCTCTGTCCTACCAACAGCCAGCAACAGCAAAGAGAGACATGTCCTTCCATGCTGCACCACCCCGCCCATCTCTGCCTCTTAAGAACTACCACCTACAGCCATCAAAAAGCATGTTTGTTTGTTCTGAACCACAACAGCTACACCTTAAAAGTATGGAGGTCACCTGGGACATGGTGAATAAATTTGAATGTGCTACCAGAGCACAGAGTACATGTCCTGAATGGCATCAGCTAAGGAGGCATAGGTTGACTGCCTCCCGCTTCAGGGAGATCTGCCAGGTTCAAGATAAATCTGAGGAAGATCTGGCAAATCGTCTGCTGCAAGGGACCTATCAGACTGCAGCTATGAAGAGAGGGCTTGAATTAGAGGCAGATGCTATCTGGGAATATTGTCAAATTAAAAGAGTCAACCACTATCCCTGTGGATTTGTGATTCACCCTGATGCTCCTTGGCTAGGGGCATCTCCAGACGGATTGATCTTTGATCCTTCTGAGCCATGTCAGTTCGGGCTGATTGAGATTAAGTGTCCAAATGTGAAAAGTTATGTTGACTGTCCATATCTCCAAATGAAGTCAGGCAAATTGGAACTAAAAAAAACTCATGTTTACTATTGGCAGGTTCAGGGGCAGATGCTAATAACTGGGATGAACTGGTGTGATTTTGTTGTCTCAGCTGAGGAAGATATTCTTATTCAAAGAATTTATGCAGACACTAATGTGATGGATTCAATCAAACACAAAGTAGACAGATATTTTTTCTATGTTTACCTGCAGAAATGTCTAAATTAGGAGTTTGATCAAATCAAATGTACAAATTTGTTTCAAAATATTTCCATCATGAATATCTATTTACAAATGTAAGACAATGTCAATGTAAGTAAATGACAGCATTTTCTGTTTCTTCAAGACTGTGCCATCAGCTTTTCTGTCAAACTTCATATCTCCATTTCCTGACCAAAGGTCCATTTTGGTAATTTGACAGGAGACAGGCAACTGTAAAAATTTGGTTTATGCTTCCTGCAATGGAGAGAGGGATAGTGGAATCAAAGAGTTTATTTTCTTTAACTCTTCTTATTAACCTCTCAACATGCACCCTCAAACGGGCAATGGACTGGGTCTTCAAAACGTCGACCTCTGACATTTGGGCCCTCTTGGAGAGGAAGGCAGGACGATGAACAGTCCCAGGTACGAGATCATCCACCAAGAATCCCTTGTCCACCATGATGGCCATGTCCAGTGTCAAGAGTGATGTAATCCCTGATTGACGGAACACTTCCTTGTCACTCATGGAACCCTCAAACAGTGCTGACACAAATGTCAGGGCTCCGTGAGGAGACATGCCCACCATGGCCTTAAAGGTACAGTGGGATTTGTAGGTGGAGAAGACTTCACTCTGGAGGAGCAGGGATGAAGGTGTTTGACACCGTAGTTCTGTACAGTCCAGGATAACTTGTGTGTCACTGTAGCGGCCATCAAAATCCTGTGGAAGACTGGAACTCACAGCTGCAGGAGACATCCACACACAAATTGAGCCCAATAAGCAGTACAGGAAGTTGGCCCATGTCACAATAATGCGGCTGACTGTTGCTCTGTGGATGTTAAATCGATGGCCCAGTTCCCTCTGGGTACATCCAGTAGACAGGTAGGAGAGGAAAAGAAAAAGCTCATCTATTGGCAGCAGTTTCTGGACAGAAAATTATTTAAATGTTAGTTCAAAACCAGCATTCTCATTGTGTGTGTGTGTGTGTGTGTGTGTGTGTGTGTAACTTACAGTTGGTCTGGTAAAAGGGGTTTCAGTTGTTGTACTCATGACGTCGGTTTTCTTTGCTCTGGTGACCCTGACCATTTTGGCTGTTGCTGCCTCGATCAAGTTCCAAAACGCCTTCAGATGCTCATATGAGGGGAACCTAAAACACATAAAAAAAAAAAATATATATATATATATATATATA